AGAGAGAGAGAGAGAGAGAGAGAGAGAGAGAGAGAGAGAGAGAGAGAAGAAAAAAGAAGATAAAACTACATTCAAGAATAAAGGCCACTTCAACACACTACCACATATTGTGGGCTCAAAAAGACCACTTCTAAAAAGTGGAACACACCAGAGCTAAAGACAAATTCTAAAAGCTACAGTTTAGCCTCTACTCTGCTGAATTCCTACATACAAGTCGATCCCAGACCTGCTTTCAGTGACAGGACAGAGCTTCTTCAATGAGAGACTTCACCTTACAGAGCTGGTATAATTTCCACGGACTGATGATTAAAAAGAAATTAAAGTGCAGAGCAAGATGAAAAAAAAGAAGAAAGGAACAATAGGAAATGTAGTCAGTTCAAATATCTCAGTTATGAAAAATGGAATCTAAGTATGATTGACATACTTAAGGACATAAGCAACACTAAAATAATCACAAGAACTATGTGCTATGAAAAGGAATCAGATGGCAGACTTATTGTGAGCTTTTTGAGGGTGCTCCATTCTGATTTGTAGAGTAGATAGACCTATATGTAATGCCACCAATGGAAAATAAGACTTCACTCTTTAGCACATCCTCCCCAGCAGTTGATTTTCTAAGCATCCTATCCCTTAGATACTTGTTCAGCAATATTCATTCCTGTGCTACCCACAACAGCTATAAAATAGAAACAACCTAAATGTGCTTTAACTAACCAACAAATGGCTAATGAAAATTTAGTACATATATTACGGAATACTGTTCAGCTGTGGGAAAAAAAAAGATGAAATCATGAACTTTGCAAATTAATAGGTAGAACTACAGAGTATAACACTGAGTGAGGTAACCCAGACACATAAAGACAAATCTTGCATTTTCATTTTCTTCTGTATTTCCCAGCTCCAAATTTTTAGACATGAATATCTAACATGGAGTAAATACAGAACCAGGAGAATAAGACAGGAGAAGAAATAGAAACAGGCAGGAGAAATAGAAAGGAGAACAAGTCACTTGAAGGGGGTAGTGGGGAAAATGGAGGGTGAGTGATAAATAAAGAAAAGAAAATAGATGTCGGAGGTGTATGCTTGTAGACAGGAGTCTAGCAAAACTGTCCTCTGAGAGGCTTCATCTAGCAGCTGATGGAAACAGATGCAGGAACCCATAGCCAAACATTAGACAAAGCTCAGGGAATCTTGTGGAGACTTGGGAGAAGGATTGAGGGAGCCAAGGGATCAGGGCCACCACAAGAAAACCTACAGAATCAACTAACCTTGGCTCTTTGGGACACACAGAGACTGAACCACCAGCCTAAGAACATGCATGGCTGGACCTAGGGCCCCCACACATATATAGCAAGTATTCAGGTGGTCGTCATATGGCTTCCCTAACAACTGAAACAGTTACTGTTTCTAACTCTGTTGCCTGATTTTGGATCCCTTTCCCCTAAGTGGGATGCCTTGAGGAGGAGAAAATGAAGAATGGGAAGTGAGAAGGAAAACAGGGAGTCTGAGGTCTTGATGTAAAGTAACTAGATAGATAGATAGATAGATAGATAGATAGATAGATAGATAGATCAAAAATTCCTCAAACCTAATAGTGGTTTTTTACACAAGAGCTACAGTCCAATAACAGCAAACACACACACAAACACACACACACACACACACACTCAAAGAAATCTTCTCTCAGCCAATGGCCAATGCTACCTGGGACTCAATAATACTTGTGCAAACAGAATCCTGACGAGCTGCTATGTCAACCATCTATAATAATATAGTTCAGTTCTATGACGAAGTTTCAAACCAACATTAGTGGCCATCACCAGGTGTTCACTGAATGGTTTGCTTTCCTGCCTTTCTTCCTTTCTTCCTTCTAATTGTTTCTAACATGATTTTTCAATCTCACAAAACAGATAGAGGGAAATTTCTGGTATATTGTTTTCCTCTACACTAGGAGACTTAAACCACTAAGTTAACAACACCAACGACATGACTGCATCTGTTTTTAGAAGTATCCCCTGTGCAGGCAGACCTTTTTCCTTTCCCCCAAACTGCAAGTGAGAAGGAACATCAAGTCTCACGAGTTGCTGGCTCTGATGTAGAGAACGTAGAATAAATAGAGGTTAAAAGATCACTGGAATGGGAGCATATGCCCAAACACACTGAATATGCACTGGCAAACAGAATGGAAGTGTTAAGATAAGTCACAATTTGCCAAAAAGTATATAAAAATAATAAAATAGCCCTTATAATTTGTGCCAGACAGTTTGACAGCATTTCTCTTCAAGTTTAAACAGTACAATCGGCCAATAGATCCACTTGCTTCTTGACCTTTCTTCTAGACTTTTATACTCCAAAGGTAATAAAAGCCCTTAAAGCCTTTAAAGGAAGAAACTAGAAAAACTTTAAAATTAAATTTTAATTAACTCTAAATTATGATGCATTGAATTCTGTAAATATATGTAATGTTTACAAAAATACATTGTTATATTATGCTATATATAATTTAATATTATGATTATTGTATATATAACTGAAATATATATATATATATATATATATATCTAGTTATATATATATATATATAATTGAACAAAAACTGTAGAGTCAGTTTTATTTTTCTAAGATAACCCATGGTTCCTAAGGAACATAATCCAAGCAATTTTATTTTTTATTTTACTTTTTACTTTTTATTGGTTCCTTGTGAATTTCATATCATGCATCCCAATCCCACTAATCTTTCCCTCCCTGATGTCTGCCCTCCACCCTTGTAACCTCTCCTCCAACAGAGAAAAATCTTACTGTGGAAGCTGTAGTGTGTCACCATGTGTCCCACAGTATTCTTTCTTGTCCACACTGCTCTGCCCTCATTACACACTCATTGCAATGACTCATTGGTCTGATACAAGGCTCTGGCTTCTGCTACACTATCAATACTGGATCTTCACTGGGACTCCTCTCACACAATTGGTTGTTGCCCTGTATCATGAAGAACCTATAGTTTTGGATCTGTCGAGGACCTGTCCCTTCATGCACTCCAGCAGTTTATTGGTGGGGTAGATGTTGTGGTAATCCAATTCAAAGCCCTGAATCTGGGTCTGAGAGTTATCTGAGCTGGTCAACCCACCAGCTCTCCCATGCTCATGCCCTTAAGGATAGATCACAAGAAACCCTTGCTACCAGAGTCAGATCTACCCTACTTCCCAGGCAAGGTACAAGAAAGACCTACTCTCCCGAGTTATATAGCCTGTAAGAGATATGGCCCGTTCTCCCACTCAAGTTACCCTTAGACAAGCTCTCCTTCCTGCCATAAATGGTGATGGAAGAGGGAGGGGAGAAAGACACCTTTCCTTCATCTGAGCCTCTGCCCAGAAGACAAGGGCCAGTTCTCCCATATTCATACCCTTGCATCCAGGGCCAACTCCATTTGTGCTGTCCAAATGAGATGCTGAGCCTGTTCTCTCAAGTGCTGCCCGAGGTGAGGGTCAGGGTCAGCTCTCCTGGTCTTATGAACTCTGGGCCAACTCTTCTGCATGCCACTGGTGGCAATGGGCAAGGGAGGTCATCTCTCCCTTACCCATATCACCACACAGCAGCATAGCAGTCAAGTGGAGGGGCCAACTCTCCCATGTTCAACCCTACAGGGCCAACTTGCTTATACCCCCTACACCAACGTTAGCTCTACTGAGGGGCCCAGGCAAGGTACAGAGCCTTCTCTCAATTTCTGCAGCTGGCAAGGGGCAGGGTCATCTCTCCTGCTCTCAAGCTTTTTAGGACAACTCTTCCACAATGCCCAGGTGAGGCATGGGGACCGTTCCGCACAACTCTCAGACATCAGCATGTCCCTGGGCAAAAGCCAAGACCAGGGACATCCATCTGGCTTTTGGTGGTAACAAACCACTGCTGTTGCAGGGACACAGATCCAGAAGAGCCCCCTGATGGCAGCAGCACAGGACAGACCCCACCCATGGTCCCAGGTGGCAACAACAACTACTCACAGCAGGCTGCTCTCTACTACTCTTGAGTCTCCAGTTCTCTCTCTCTCTCTCTCTCTCTCTCTCTCTCTCTCTCTCTCTCTCTCTCTCTTTCTCTCTCTCTCTTCATTGTGTCTACATTCTATCTTTCTCTTCCATTTCTCCACCACTTACATGTTCCTCTTAGTGGCTCCTGCAGTCTTTGACTGTCTAGATTCCTTTCAGGAGTGGTCTCAGGAGTGCTATGCCCCACTCACCCACTGTGGTACTGGTAAGAGTCATCTCTGACATGGGCATGGTCTACCAAGTCCTGCATGCCACCCAACTGGTGGATTGTCTCTAGCTAGCTACCTATTTAGACCTCATGATGCCATTCTTGTTGTCATTTCAGGATTGTTTCTTTCATGGCCTGCCTAAGTGGCCCCTTATGAGGGTTGTATGTGTCAGGCTCACTCTTGTCTGGGACCAAAGGTCCCAGGCAGAGTTCTAGTTTTAGGCTTGTTCCTAGTCCTGGGATATCTCAAGCCTGAACAACTGGACTAATCATCTCAGGGTATTCCCCTGTTCCAGTCCCCTGATACCAAACTGGTGGTCATCTCAGGGTTATGGTTTTCAGGTAGCATTAAACTACTAATTATTCAGATGTTTATAGGTTGGAACACTGAGCATAGGAGACACAGCCTCTCTCCTCTCTGCCACCTACTGACTCACATGTGACACAACAGCCACACCTGCAATGCTTCTAAGGGGAGGCTTCCAAGGGATTTTAAATCAACCCTCAATAATGGTTACTGCTTGGCTCCTTGTCAGTCAGTTGTTTTTCTGATTGTGTTATATCTCAAGCTGACAGATCAAATAAATCAATAAAATATAACCAACCAATGCATCCTAAAATATAATGAGTTTTTTTTTCCTAAACTGTAAGAAGCTACAAATGAAATTACAGAAGTAGATATTTTAAGAATTTTCAATTAAAAGAGAGAAGAACAGCAAATGATGAAGTCGGGAATTGGGTTTGGGTGAGGGAATCACTTTGAGTCAGTGTATAAAAGGCCAGAATATACATTAACTTGAAAACATGAGGGTCGGGTTGAAAATATTTTGAGAGCTGAAAAATTACTTTCCAAGGAAGTAATCTACACAGAGGATCAAGTCTCATCATGAAGATATTACTACAAAGGCATCTTTGAAACTTCAATGCCTCGACTTTGGAGAATTGAACCAACCTAAGAAAGGCATATGGATGACCATCAAAAGATGTTGCCTAGCATGGCACGACAGGTTGTTACTACTGACTCCCCTGGGAGATGTATGACTGTGATTTGGAAGAAAAACCATTTTTTTTAACTGCTGAAGAACTTGTCTTCTGAAATATTTAAAATATTCCAAGCAAAGTCAAACAATTTAAAAGTAACCCAAGAAGAGGAGGTGGAGGAGGAGAAGGAAGAGGAGGAGGAGGAGGGGAAGGAGGAGGAGGGGAAGGAGGAGGCTTAATGGGAAGTAGAATAGGAGGAGGAATTCTATAACTGCTGCTGCTGCTATTTCAGGAGATTACCTACAATGAAATGAGACTATATTTTATATATACATATATAAAATTATATATGATAATATATATATACACATATATATATGATAGAGAGTTAGACAGATAAATACTACAAAAAGTACTTCTACTGAACCTAACAGAAAAAAAAAATGAACCTATATAAATTGGATCTTCTGAAATAGCTGCAAGGACTGTCAATATGAGAATCCCCTCCAATACATAGTCACCTGCAGAAACATTGGCCCCTATGTGCCTGTAATGTTTTAAGAGGTATGGAATATGCTTTACTGGGGGATATAGATCTCTGGACAAGGCCTTGGAGGTGTGTTGTACTTTGTTGCTTGTCATCTCACTCTGTTCTTGTCTGTCATGATGTGAATTTCTCTAACATATCCTTCTTACTATGATGTGTACTGAGTTCTCTGAAACTTCAAGTAAAATAAGATTTTCTCCTTCAAATTGTCCCTTGTATATTTTGGTTACAATGATACAAAGTCTGATTATTAAAGAGATATTTTTCATAGTTACCTGTTAAGGTCCTAATTTATTAGAACAGTTATAAATAAAATTTAAAATCACATGACAAATCTTGAGTGGTAAGTTTGACTTGTGGTACACAGAACTACAGATTAAACTTCAAATGAAACTGGCCTTTATAAATAAGTTTCACAGTGGAGCTAATGAAGATCACAGTAAACGTTATAAATTAAAATGTCTCCTACATCCTTTGGTGGAATAGCTTTTCTAACTATTCTGGCAATAACTTCTATAATTGGAGCAATGTATGTGTCCCTCAGTGTTTTGTGTGGCAGTAGTGAATAATGCTGTTTTAAAGTTAAAATATATAGTACTATTTCTCTATCTCATAATTTTTCTCATACTTACTGTTTAATGAAAAGCAATAAAAACAGACATTACTCCTTGAATTTGTACATTTAAACAGAATCTACTGACTCCTTACTTGAAAAGTTACATATTTTCTAGCACATTTGAACTTCCATCAGTCTCTGTTGTTTATGGAGTATCATTAGAGTGCTATCTTTCAATTGTCAAGATTCTTGTTATATTCTCTTCTCTAACAGCAATTTTCTTAATGTTAGTAAATTTAAAATCAAATAATAAACACATTCTCAGTATTAAAAGTATACAGATGTTTCTAAGGTTCCTCTGTCTATGTTTTGGCCCCAAGTGCTAAAATTTCAGATGCCTACTGCACTCTTAAAGTTCAGGCATGTGAAATGTATTTAGATGAATATTAGATTAAGTTTTCCCAAAATTGGAGTTGGGGATGTCTCAGAGTTGGTAAAATATTTATTTAGCATGCAGAAGGTCCTGTGTTTGATTCCCAGAACTTCAAAAATTGAGAATAGACAGTGCATTTTTTTTTAATTTCATAACTCATAGGTTAGGTGTTGTTCTGGTGCTGCAACATATTCAAATGTTAAATCTGGGCCCCAAGGTCTGATTGTCCCCTGATAATCAGAGCAAATTCTCACATACACCAAGTAATGCTGTGTAAACTTTGCTCTCCATTTTAGTTATTGGTTAAATAAAAGTGACTACAGCCAATTACTAGGGAGAATAGAGGTAGGTGGGTTTTCAGTTACTAGACTGGGGGTTACAGGTAGGGATGATGAAGAGAGAAAGCAGAAGAAAGTGGAGAAAGTGAAAGAGGAAGAAGGAGAACGAAGATAGAGAGATTAGAAGGTCTATATTAGACATGATAGACCAGGAGCATGTGGCCAACTGAAATGCTCCCTGAGGATGGACAGATGGAGCAGAGATAACCCTGGAAAGAATGAAACAGCAAGTACTTAGGGAGTGCAGCCAGGGAATTAATAGTCTTCTGCATAGAAATATAGATTAGGTGTAATTCACCAAATAATTGTGCTAAAGCTAATTTAAAAAATAAAAACATAGGACTCTGCCTCAATTACTGGGGGACTGGCCAGGTCATACTAATAACTAATGGTTATTTAATAATATTTTAAAATACCAACCATTTACACTTACGTGAAAAGGCAAGGAATAATAGAAGACTAGGAAAAGAAGAAGAATAGCAATAAAAACAACATAATAGGGCTTGAAAATCGAATAGTGGGTATATAAATATTTATTATAATATCTACATTTGTCTTGACATTTTATTATCTCTCTTTCTTGTATGTGTGTGTGTGTGTGTGTGTGTTCTGTACGTGTGTGTGCACACACGTGTGCATGCATGTGCGTGAATATGTGTACCTGTGCGCATGAATGTGTGTGCACTTATTTCGGTGCACCCATGTGCCACAGAAGATGACATACACAAATTAGTTTTATTTTTCTACCATATTAGCCCTGGAATTGGAACTTAGGTCCTAAGAGTTGGCAGCAAGTGCCTTTATGTACTGAATGATCTTATTTGCTCTAGGTACATGAAAATATATTCTAAAAATTTATAATAACGTAAATTATATTTTGTTGAGCAAGGCTATCTTGAAGACTCTCCAAAGCAATACACTTTATAGTCAGTGATCTTAGCAGTTCACAACTTGATGTTGGGACCTTATTGCTAATAATATCACAAATTCTGCAGAACTTGAAGAAGCCATGTTGGTACTGACAAAGATGGTACAGAACCTACTGAGGGGGAAAATGCTATTGATAATCTCACCCAGTTGTGATCTCTCTGAACAATAATAATGACTAATATGCCACAATATACCCATAGGGGCAATAGTGACATGAATATCATGAGAGTAACCATGCACTCTCTGAATGGATTTAAGACTTGATTCACAGAAGCATGCCTGGTACAGTAAGTCTGGCTAAGAAACCTATGGTTGGGGAGGTCATGGGCCCTGAGATAAACTTCTACTATCATTTTGCTAAATGAACATAGTATTGAAGTGTTCTCTAAATTCATACCTTTATGCTTCCAAATCAGTGGTGGCTCTCAGGCCTTATCAGAAAAGTTTCTTTACACAAAGACAAGTGTTAGTAAAGAAACTCAAAACTAATCACAGGGTAGAGAATAAATGTAGTAGAGCGATGATCCACAAATGGGACATGCATATCCTACACATACACCCAAATCTCATGAACTATCATGGAATAGGGAACAGAAGACTGTTAAGAGCCTGAGGTCATAAAGGGGCAGAACAGTGATGCAGCTCTGTCTTCTGGACATGGCAAGACCACTGAACACATCATCCAGAGCAGCTGTGGTTACCTTCCTAAGATCAAGACAGCCAGCACTTCAGCACAAAGAAGGTAGAAGATAATGGCCTCCTCACCTAAATGAGGAACTATTGATAGTTGATGACTTCTGGGTAAGGGAGAGTCATGGCTACTTAAGGACATGGTCCCTAGTGAATGGCTTTTTACATCCATGGATATATTTATATCACACATTGGCCTAACAGAGAGAGAGAGAGAGAGAGAGAGAGAGAGAGAGAGAGAGAGAGAGATCATAGAAGGAGGGCTGGTAGTTTATCTAAAAGGAGGTAGAAAGAGACGCTCAAGGTGAATGTGATAAAACTACAATAATTGCTTCTCATAGAATTATTAATAAAGATTATATAAAGTATCTTATGTTAATCATATGTTCCATGTGATTACTTATTTTCTCCCAACAACTACAGTTTATTTGTCACTATCTATCGCTAAAGTAGAATATGAAGTTTCATAGATTAAAGCACATAGTCATTAAAAGACAAATACCTTGCCTCTGTGTAAAAAAAAATCCTCTTGGTTATTTGATGCCAGAATATGTCTCCCTAAGTCAGCCTCATAAATAGCCTTTCTGCAAATGTACAACTTTTCCAAACATGAAATGAGACTCAAAAACTGTGAAGAAAAAGATTGATATATTTTGACCATACAAAACTTCACATTATGTGAAAACTACTGCAAACAAATGTCTAAATGAAAAAGACAATCCATGTAAAAGGGACTCAGCTTGAGGGTCAAATGGCAGGATCCTAAATGTTCTGATTTTGTACATCTAATCCACTGTGGTTTGCCCCCTGGAAACCTTGTAACCACTATGTTCAGTTAGTACTCTGTCACTGCAGTCATTTCTTTGCACCTTTCCCCAGTTAATAATGCCTCATTTTGAAGATGCGCAATGCTGAAAAAAACAATTATTAATCTACTTACTGTTATAATTCAAATTAATATCTACTCTATACTCATATAAATAGAATCACATTGCATCGCCTTG